TGTCAAGTCTTATGTTAAAATTATGTTTTGTATAACTTAACATTACAGTTTAATTAAATATAATTTATGCCATCAAATATGGTTTTTGGAAGCTTTTGAATGCATTGTCAGACAGTGACTTCTCTGCTTAATATGTAAACTGAAAATGTGACCATAAAGGCATTGGAATGTTTTCCACCTGCAATCCATTAAGTAAGAAGAATATGTAATATATTTGAAACTTTGACTTGTCAGTTCTAGGAATATAATCATGGCTAAAAAGGACTTGCTGATTTTATATACGTACCATTTGTTGAATGTAAATAATAATATTAGGTACCATTAAAACTATTTCACTAGTTGCTATAATGGCAAGAGGATTGAATGACCTTCCATCAGAGGAAAGTCTTTTATATCTGAGAAAGGCTTGCTACTTTGTGATGAGAAAGGTCCTGCCCATGCTACAGTGACATGATATCATGCCAGACAAGAGATTCACCCATGGTGAATTACGTAAGTAATTTGTTCTGTTTTGTTGCTGAGTCCTATCTCATTGTATGGGTAAGCCATAATGTGTTTATCCCTTTAACTACTGATGGACATTTGGGCTAGTTGCAGTTCAGTGGTGCTTTGAATATCTGCATACAAGGCTTAGCATAGCATTATTTTTCATGTTTTCTCAAAAATACCTAGGAATGAAACTGATAGGTTATTTGGTAGTTGTCCAACAGTTTTCACAAGTGGTTATACCACTTAACATTCACATTAAAAATGTATGAGGGCTCCAGTTATTTCAAATCCTGCCTAACACTTGTTATGGACAGCCTTTTAATTATCCATTCTTGGGTTGTGGTATCTTACTGTAATTTTAACTTGCATTTCCCTGAAGACTAATGATGTTGAGTAGGAATTGGTAAACTGTGACCCAGCAGCCAACTGCCAATTTTTACAAGTACAGTTGACCCTTGAGCAATATGGGTTTGAACTACACTTGGTCCACTACACACAGTTTTTTTTAAATATATATATAAATACAGTACTATATATGTATTTTCTCTTCCTATGATTTTCTTAACATTTTCTTTTCTCTAACTTTATTGTAAGAATACAAACATAGAATACATACCACAGACAAAATATGTGTTAATTGACGGTTTATGTTATCACTAAAGCTTCCAGTTAATAGTAGGCTATTAGTAGTTAAATTTTGGGGAGTCAAAACTATATGCAGATTTTTGTCTGTGTGGTGGGTTAGTGTCCCTAATCTCCATATTGTTCAAGTGTCAACTATACAATTTTATTGAAACACAGACATGTCATTTTAATGCTACAGGGCTTGTATTTATTTTTAAAAATTAAAAGAAAATTAATTCTAATTGGATTTTGAAAGACTTTCTCTTTTCTTTTGTTATTTCACAACAGCCCCTTGAACTATTTAGAGATACCCTGGGATGTCGGAAAAAGAGGATTAGAAACAACTATCCTAGATCCAAGGTTCTACTTTATCAATGTGCAATCTTTTTTCAGCCATAATGGTGGTGGTTTCCTGAAATGTTCACATTCTTTATTTTGTCTCACTCTTGATTGGTGTAGGCTTTATTTCTCATAAGATACAGTAAAATGTTTTTCTAGTATTCTTATTACTCTGTACTCTGGGGCTCTTCTGGACAATATATCTGCCATTTTACCTATAAATGTTTTCCTAGTTAAGCTTATATCATATTATATTATTTTTTTATTAACTCTACCTACGTCATTCATCAGAGGTTTTCATACTAACATTGAAAGATAACTATCATCACATGACTAGTGTTCTAAACCATTAAACTGGAATTACTCAGAATGAAGAGTAATTTATCCAAGATTAAAAATTATTATAGGATGCATGGAGATATACCCTAAAATATCCGGGGAAATTGTCCAGTAGTATAAAATTGAATACTAGTCCAAACATTCATTTGAAGGAATGCTTGACAAACTTAATCAGATTGAAAGGGCAAAAATCGCTTTACCTTTTTGCTGAGAACCAAAAAGACCAGTGGTATAATTACTGAGTAGGTGAAGGGGTGTAGAGAAGACAGAAGATAGAGGGAATCAATATTGGGTGACAATGTGAGCATAGGTGAAAGTGCATTGCCGAATGTGAGAAGATTATACTGGCCAAAAAGAAATAAGATATGTTGAGAAGTAATAAAGGAAGAAGTAATGTGTCAGGGACAATGAAGGGACTTGAATTTCCAGCTTCAAATAAGCAACTGGGATGATAGTCTCAAAATACTAAGTTTGTGATGCTGCTTTAAGGTAAGATTTGTTTGTGTGCATCTCTCTCTCTTTTTGAGGACTTCTAAAAGTTTAGCTCCAGAGAGTAGTGTGAATTAGAATTTTGGAGAAAGTGGGTAGTTAAATGCCAATTCACTCAAAAAGTTACATGATGTTGATGTATTTGCTGACATAAATCATTAGTGAAAAGGACAAAGATTGGAGTCATGAAAATTCCCATGTGGAGGAAATGAGAACACTTCCACTTTTGTTGGTCAGTAATTCTGTTTACAACCTTCCTTTTCCTCACTTGGTGCTGCCATCCTTTCCACTTTCCAAGTGGAAGAGTAATGTGGTACATCAGGCCAAATTCTATGAGCAAAGGTCTAATGTGATGATGCTGTGACTCTTGGCTCTTAGTCAAACATGAGTGCGGCCTAAGTACACTAATATTCCTTATTCTCTGCTTCCCAACAAGGGGGTGGGTAACAGACCAGCTGTGTTTTAATTTACTGTGGGACCTAACAATCTTCTAAAGTAGTGTAGTGATTCTAGGGTTAATCTAGGCATATAACTAAGGAGGGAAAAATTGGCTTGGACCAAATCTATATTATAGCTGAAGTATAAATCCTCTCTTCAAAATCTAATGAAATTAGGACAAAACATTAGCAGTTAGCATCATTTGAGCATTATGGTTTCGGGGTTGGCCTCTCCTTACCTCTCTTTTGGGTAATGATGACATTCTCAACAAAAATAGAGCAGGAAGTACAGTTGGTGCGAACTGAGATCCAGTTTTGATCTTGCACTTAACTTGCAGAGTGACAGAGAACGGTGGGCCCTCAATTTCATTGTACTATGAGAGATTTGCACTGGGTGAGCTAAACTAGATGAATCTTCCTTACATTTGGATAAAACACCCAGTATCTCTGGGTTTCAATTTTGCCAGAAATGTAGGAATAACACTTTGAGAATCTTGAAGTTTATGAAAATGTCATCAAATACTTGGAAGTATAAAGAACTGTGTACATACCCGGAAATAGTTGTACTGGCTGCTGAGGTAAGACAGTGGTTCCCACAACTTGGTATCCAAGAAGGGGCTAGCTGTATTTTTTCAAAGGCCTATTGGAATCCTTTATGTAGCTATATTGAGGCAGACCAGGCTAATTTTGACTGGAATAGTATAAATTTAGTGTGATGACTTTGGGAAGCCATGCTGTTCAGAGGTACTAACTGGTATTAATGAAGTATAAATCTTATGAATATAATTGATATAAATAAAATGAATCATGAGAAATCAAATGTGGATTACTAAATTAATAAATGCAATCTTTCTAATGGGTAAAATGTTCTAAAAATATTAAATCTCTGTAGAATAGAGAAAGAAAATAATTGAGGTCTATAATTTGTATCTAAAACTCTGGGGCCAGACATGTTTTAGAATTCAGAAAATCCTTGGATTTTAGAAATGTACTAGGTTGTCTGGACCCCTTCAGTGGGGGCTTGGCCAGCACCCCTTAATTAAACATGTTAATATTCCTACAATTAAACATGTGAATAGTTACACAGATTATTCAGTGAGATTTGAGAAAGACTTGGTGGCCTCATATGGTTCAGATTGGGTTTTCTTACCAAATTAGTTAAATACGAATTTACCAAAAAATCTTACAAAGCTGTTTTGGATTTCTGTCTTGTGGCTTAATTAAGTAACCAATTATTGAGCAATTACTATGTGCCAGCTTCAAGATAGTGCCATTTGCACTAATCTTTGTAAACAACCCATCAAAGTGGACATTGTTATCCAGTGTTCATAATTTACAAATCAAGAAACTCAGGGCCAAGTATGTTCTGTGAGTAGCCAGAGGCGCCACTGGTAATTAAGTTGGGAGAGCTGGTATTTGAACTCTGCTCCTTCTGGTCCCAAAGACAAAAGACAATGTTGTTTACTCACCGCTTGGTCAAGACTTCTGGTTAGTGTGATAATCTGTCCTTGTTGCCTACATAGTTTTAAAAAAAAAAAGAGCCTTGAAAATTTAATTAAGTTTTCTTTCCTCATTCTGCACAATCTCTCTAGGGAAGTTCATCCAATGATTGTTTAGAAACTGATGACATCCAGATGGATCGGTGTTCTGTTACTGAGCATCACACTTGATTATTCAACCTCCTGGGGACATTTCCATGTAGTTGTCTCATTGACCCTGTGGGCCCCAAAAGAGACCTAAAGATCTTTCTCTTCCATTTATCTTCTCTCAGAACTCCCTAATCTCCCTAAACTGACCCCCCTCCACCTGTGTCCCTTTGTTTCCAACCCTCTATGTAAATCACTCTCTTGTGGGGATACAGCTGGAGGGCAGCACTGACGAGGCTGGGGGGTTTCAAAGTGCAGTAGTTAAATTTACTGATATGAAATGTCAGATCCTTTGAACATTCCCAGATAGTATGCATCCAATGAAGGTTTTGACTATCAAATACCCAAAGTAGCCTTAAATGTCATCTACCTGCTCAATAATAAATTACCAAATATTAAATCCTAAGATTTTACTTTGTGTTCTAGACTAATTTCTATTTTATTTAGTTTGGGTTTTTTGGATCTCAGAATTACCCACATTTTAGCAGTTTGGGTAGATGAGTTGGAATATTCAGTAGCTAAGTAGATAGCATGTTTTCCAGTAACAATGTCTCTAGCAACTAACCTTTGCCCAAATTTGCCCTGGGATACTAAAGTGGTAAAATAACAGCCCTGTGTTTTGTGTTCCCATCTTTAGGTAAAAGGCCAAGCCTGAAAGTCCACATCAATACCACGAGCGACTCCATCCTCTTGAAGTTCCTACGTCCAAATCCAAATGTAAAATTAGAAGGTTTTCTCTTGGGATATGGCAGCAACTTGTCACCAAACCAGTACTTCCCTCTTCCAGCAGAAGGGAAATTCACAGAGGCTGTGGTCGGTAAGATGTTTGGGTTTCGGGCGTGGGAAGAAGAGAGGTAACAGGTAATGGGTGCCACGTGAACTATAAATCTTGAAGGCAAATGCCCTTTCTTCTACATCTCAGCCAAACCAAATGCCAGAGTTACAAATCATCTACATAATTGTTGTAACCTACATAGCATAGTGCCTCTTTGTGGAAAAAATACAGAATGAGAACTCGGCGTGTGCTGCAGAAATAATCATCTTCGTTGCCGTTATAACTACAATCCCTGACCAGAGACCTTAAATTTCATAAGGAAAAGTAAGCTAAAATGCCTGGTTTACATCTCTGTAACATAGCCTGTTTATCTGGGTTACTTTTCCTCCCTGTTTTGTCTTTACATTCTTCTGGTGAAAAATGACCACCATAGCTTTCTGGGCATCTCTTCATGAGAAGGTACCTTTAAAAAAGAAAAGAAAATATATTACATTTTTTTAAATTTAAAAAGATTGAAAAAATTAAAAGCTTTTATAGGCATGATAGCATTTTACATTTCTTTGGAAATGGTTTTAATCCCATTAGCAATGTAATATGAGGATGTAAGCATCTTTAAGCCTTGTTCAGAAAAATTATTTGCAAAAAAATAATTTTTTTAAAAAAGGATAACATTTATCCTTTTCTAACTTTTTAAAAAAAATTTAACATCTTTTAATGTTAATGTTATCATTTAACATTTTTTTTTAAGGATTTTATTTATTTGACAGACAGAGATCACAAGTAGGCAGAGAGGCAGGCAGAGAGAGGAGGAAGCAGGCTCCCTACTGAGCAGAGATCCCTATGTGGGGCTCGATCCTAGGAGCCTGAGACCATGACCTGAGCCGAAAGCAGAGGCTTTAACCCACTGAGCTACCCAGGGGCCTCAACATTTAACATTTTTTAAAAAAGGATAACATTTTTTAAAAGGGGATCATCTATTATGAATGCCTTCAAAGGCTTTCTGAACGGTATCAGATGATACTTGTATGTTGCTCCATTGCTAGGATTATTGCTGTAGGGCCTTTCCATGAAGTTGCCGTGTTTAACCCTGTCACTTGAACTATTGTAGATCAGATCTGGCTTTCATGCGTATACGCAGGGAATGCTAAAGAGAAATATAGTTTGTCCTGCAGCCGTTTCGTCCTCATAGAGAAGCCTGTTGTACTCTAAAATTAGACAGGAGAGTGACATTATTACTTAAATATCTAGACTAGATTTTTACCTATGATCATTTTTTTAAAACAAACACATTACAGTTTGTTGCCAAAAAAAATTTTGAGAATTATGCATTTCTGACCAATGTTACAACACTAACCCTGACCATGTAAACGAAAGAATTTGAAATTTTGCAAGTACTCTCCGACCACGTTCACCCTTTACTACAAAAAGTGCTCGGAAGCTATAGCCCACATGCCAACAGAACTGAGTCCACAGCTCCTTTATTTATTGAGCAACAGAAGTAATATTTAGGATAGTTTCTCCCCTTGGTTCTTTCGATTGAGAATTTGCTCAGTTGTAAACTACCTTTCCATCAGAGGGGGAAGTGTTCAGTAAGGGGTAGAGAAGTCCGATTGCTAGTGAATAATATGCACAGAAAAGGAAAGAAAATTTCTGGTATAAATATACCAGCCTTTCAGCAGCTCAGTGATGAGGGATAATCAGACGGACCCAGTACACTTTTATTTACTTACGGTTGTTGTCCTTTAAGTTTTTTTTATTATGGAAAGTTCAGACATCCAAGGAGAGGAAATATTACAAGGGTCCTCATGTTTCCTCATGCAGCTTGAATACAGATCACTGTTCTGCTGATCCTGTTCCATGTTTTCTTCATACACACAGTTTTCTTATTACAGGATTTTAAAGCGTAACTGGATATTGCATGTTTAAGTCTGTGAACCCTTCAGTATGCTTCTCTAACAGATGAGAGATATTTTGAGTAATGCTGTGCCTTTATCACGTTATAATAATAATCCTACAATATCATTTGATACCTAACCCATATTTAAATTTCCCTGCTGATCTTAAAAATGCCTTCTTCTAGTTATTTCTTTTTTGGATCAGGATCCAAACAAGGTCTCCATGTTACCTTTTGTTGTTAACGTCTTTTAAGTCTCTTTTGTCCTATGACAATCCTCTCTCTCTTCTCTTCACAAATGTCACTGATTTGCTGGAGCACTTGGCTCATACATCCTGGTCCATGTTCTGCATTTAACTGGTTTCTTCCATTCTGTAATTTTTAACTGGCTCCTCTACATTCTGTATCACCCATGGAAAAAATATGTAGATTTGGAAGCTGTGTTAAATTTGGATTCAGCTTTTTGGGGGAAAAGATATTTTATAGACAGCAATGTGTATTTCCTAACAACTCACGAAAAGAGACACTTAAATCACTGGTGTCATACTCAGTGATGATAAGACTGTTCAGTGTATTTAGGTGGTCTCAGTTGGATCCCTCCATGATAAAATTCACCATCAAATTATCACTTAGTAGTTTTTGCATGTATTGCTGATTATTGTACAGATCCATTATTTTACACTGGGCTTCTAAAATGGTAATTTTTTATATTCTAGATATCTTATAGATACATTTTAGATATAATCTAATTCTATCATTCTGCCTTTTTTGGCTCAAATTCTACAATAAAGAGTTTATTTTTAAACAATTTTTCCTTACAGAATTTTAGGAAGGTTGGGATAAATTCTCATTGTAATAAATTGGTGTTCTGATGGTCTCTGGTAGAGACTTATAATATTGTTTTATGATCAATAAGAGTACATTGATTTTTATATATCTAATGAGGTTCAATCAATATATCATGTACCCAACCCTTATGTTTCTTCTCATTGTCTAGCCTGCATAGGGTTGGCTGTTTACCTTGGTTCACTACAAAACTATGGATTTCTTGAAGTCAGGGCTTATGTTATTCTTCGGTTATTCATAGCAGAAGACTTAAATTGAGTAGAGAGGCAGTAAATAATTGTGGCATTGAATTGAATGAACTCAAGTCTGTGTAGAATATTTTGGCTGGAGGAGGCCAGGAGAGAATGTCTCGTCTCAGCCTTTGTCATCAGGCAAGTATATATCTAAGCCATCCAGGGTAGATAAAATCCATCACTCTGTATCTTAAAGATCTCTAGGGACAAAGATTCCAAAACTTCTCCTGGAAGGCTATTCCAAGTAGCCTTTTAAAAACTCTTACCTAATCCTTTAGATAAATGTGATCTTTTTATAGTTTCCTTTCTCTTCTGGTATTCTAGTGGAAGAGAAAAAAAAAATTTCCCTCACCTCTTTCCTTTTCCATCTTTCTTTATGCCAAAGAATCTGTGTGCTTCTACTTTTATTACTTCAAAATGGACTTGCATTTCCAAGTTAAATGTTATTCTTTGGTTGCTTGAGTTTATTCTTTATAGTTTTTAAAATGACTGTTTGTATTAATTACTCCTAATTGATTAAGCAACTGTTAGTTTTTGATTGCTGCTATAACCATGAATTTGGTGGCTTAAACATCACAAATTTATTATCTTACAGCTCTGCTTGTCAGAGGCCCTACCTGGCTCTCTCTGGGCTAAAATCAAGGTGTGGGCAGGGCTGCATACTCTCTTGGAGGCTCTAAGGGAAAAATCTGTTTCCTTGCTGTTTGCAGCTTCTAGAGGCTGCCACATTCCCCTTCCACCTTCAAGCCAACAACAATGAGTCAAGTGTTTCTCATTCCACATCGCTCTGAATTCATCTTCTGCCTCCTTCTTCTCCTTTAAAAGATCCTTGTGACTGACTATATTAGGCTCAGCTGGATAATCCAGGATGCTCTCCCTATTTTAAGATGAGCTAATTAAAGACCTTGTTTATATCTGCAACCTTAATTCTCCTTTGTCATGGTGCCAAACATATTTCCAGGTTCTGGGAATTAGGATTTGGGCCATCTTTGAGGAACCATTATTCTGAGTTCCACAAACTGTTGCTTGAAATTTGTGTCTTGATTCTTTCTGCCGCCAGTTCACTGTATGATCATTCTCAATTCTGCTCATCTGTAAATTAGCAATAAAGTCTATTTTTCACAGATGTGCTGAGGGCGCACTAGTGAATTCATGATTATCAAGTGACGAGTTGAAATCCTTTGAGTACAAGCTGTTCTACAATAGCAAAGAATCATTAGTTTGTGAAAAAAAAAATCGCTTAAAGCCTCTCCTACTTTCTTCTGCAGTAAGATAGTAGCTGTTCAGTTGTACTGAACTAGACCCAGACAGATTAACTTATTTTCATTTTCCAAATAATATTGTCACACTATGACACATTTAACTTGTTTCATGTGTTTAAAAGATTCCACCATTGAAATGAGAAGGTGTTCGATTATTCGGAAATACTGATGTTAGCATTTAGTGACTGGCAGATTAAACTTCTCTTCCTGAATAATCACTTCTAAGTATTCCTGTAGTTATTTTAATATTGGTCTATCTACTGAAAAAGGCATTTTCAAAAGTTACATACTGATCTTACATATAAAACTGAAAAACAAAATATTCCATCTTGCTATTTTGGAAAATGGGATTCATAGAGAACTACTGCAAAAAAAATTTACTTCAGCAAAATCTTCTAAAATTTTAGTAGGTTAATTGGAGCAGTAGAAAAAGTACTATTATCTCAGGTGACTATGAATAACTATTAACAGCTCTGAGATTCTTGCAATAACGGGATAAAACATGATTCATATTTAGTAGACCTAGGTTCCTATATCCTTTTTTAAAACCCATGCCATGAATATTCTCATTTCTGGTTTACACATCCTGGCACTGCTTTGTCACTTTTAAGTTCAGCTGTTGGACATTTTGCAAATGTCCAATAAAGTAAAACATGAGAATTTTTTGACATTGAATCTTTATAGACTCACACTTTATGATGTTCACTTGACATCGAAAGCAACTTTAATCAGTATCACCTGGGCAGGAAAGCGTTCTATTCCATCAGTTATGTACTACAACTTAAGGAGTTATTTTTAGTATCCTTA